TTTGTTTTTGTAAGCGCTCGAGGATAATGTTGTTTACGCCATATCGTGCGTGGATTTGTAACGTTTTTTAGTGTTGACTCCATTAACCCTGATGATGGGCCTAAGGCCCGAAAGCTTGGTAATAAAATAACTTATTGGTTGATGAAACAAGATCAATGATATGTCTAAGCCAACCAACAAACAAATATTTGATATAAGTATTTTGTTTATATTTTTATGTTTTATTTTCATTTCTCTTCCGTTTTGAGTGCAATAATGACTTTATTTTAATATTTGACGCACGTTTCTCGGTCCTCTGATTAGTCTAGTCCAAGCAAGGACCTTTTAAGCCCACTCCATTGAAATTTTGTTTGCAGGAAAAAGCGTTCAAAAACTTGTATRCCCATGCACTGAATCATCCAATAACAAACGATAATCATTCTCTTCTATATTTGCTATTTGAGCTCCGCTATCCTAAGGTGTTATCTAATTTTTATATTAGTTGAGGATAATACATAACTATGTAGCAATAACTATGTGATGCACGGACTGTCCTCCCTTCATGGTGGTTATAGTCTCATTGCACATTACTCTTGCTATAGATCGATAACTCAGGCCCTACGACTAATCTTACTGTGCTAAAGGACGTCCTCCAAGACACCGGCTCTTTAACAGTGACTTTGAACAAAGAAGACGTTGGCGCAGGTGTTCAGTCGGTGGATATCTATTATCAAGAACAACAAAGTAAGGCAAATTGAGGCACGGTGGTTGGAGGTGTTCAGACAAAGAATACAACCAACCTATGGTGCTCAAAACTTGAACCCATTACTTTATCGTAGACTATATAACAATTAGATCTCGAGGGCGAGTGGATTCATCAGCTGATAGCCTATGAGGGSGAAGGCCGAATGGGCTATTAGCTCGTATTCCCAGCCACGAGGCCGAGAGATCTAATTGTTTTAGTATTACCATCTATTTGGACAAAAAAATGAATGAAATATATGAATAACTAAATGTTTTTATTGCTAAAAATACGCAAAAAGTTGTCGCTTTTCGCTAGTCGAGTACTATTGAAAATCAGAACGAAGGATTTGCAATAGTCCACTAGGTAGTATGGTAATACTATAAGGTTCTATATGGTTTTGAATAAATTTTACACTCTCCTCCAATCCTCATCATGGAATTACAATCATAGCGGACGAGCCTCTTCGAAGATCAAAAGATGAAAACTATATCAAAGAATTGTATGTCATTCGTGCGGGATCCCTGTGGATTTAATTTTTGGGCTTCCTTTAGCAAATCTATGCCATATATAGAAACAAACAAAATGGCTGATTGTTCAGAAGTGTCTTCGCTATAATATCTGCATGTTTCAGACGATTTAAAGTTTTATGGGTCGAGAAAATTGTCAAAAACCGGTTCGCACGTTTCCAAATAAGGAGAGATTACCAAACATGGCTAGCAAACGAAAAACAACTTTTCTGCGTCAATTCTTTGATAGGCTTTTTAGAAAAATAAAATAGAAATACAACAAACAAACGAACAAACAAACTGAGATTATGATGTGATCATCACAGTGAAATTGTACAATGTTAGTGATTTGTATAATTTCCTTTCGAAGCCAGTGTAACGTAATACGTATAACCTTACGTTATAATTCATGGACCGTGATATATTTATTTACTTAGTTAACGAAGTGTACTTAGCTTAATTACATTGTATTCTCAAAA